TGGTGTACAGAGGTACCAAGTATAAGGGGTCCAAAGAGAAATAAAAAAAAAGGCAAGGAAAGCACTACACCCTGTGATAACACACAGGGCATGGTGAAGAGTGGGTAGACAATAGTATCAATACAGTCTTGCACTGAGAAACAAAACCTGAACACAGAAGTCTGCCAACCCTACACTCTTTGACTAACATTTTTGTCTGCATTTAAGTAATTAAGCTGGAACTGAAAAAAATAAAATAAAAATCCTTTGACTCCAGAGCTGTACACTAGGATGACTGACTACTTGCTGTTTATTCAAAATCTCCTCACAAAATTAATTACTTTAGGAAGACAAATCAAACTATGAGGTATAAAGCTCAATCATGAAATAAAAATGTCAAACATATAATATTCTCTTGACATCCTAAGAAACTACTTATAACCAGATGTGAGTGCAAGGACACAAATATTGTTTATACAGATTTAGAAAATAAAGAATGCAAGACAGCAGTGTCATCAATAAAAGTGCCTTAATTAAATGCAAGCTGCTAAAACACAGCAGGCCTACCAAAGTATCATATCCTTCATAAATATTTGTATTTAGTGACAAGAATGTTCCTCAATTTAAAGTAGCAAGTTGATAGAAAAGCTATGTAAGAAACTGGGTAATCCGGTATACACGAAGTGTAGCGACACCATGTTCTTCTGTAACATCACAGTGCAGGTAAGAGAAGGCTCTCGTTTTTATAGAAAAAGTTCATATGATCATCTGTTCACATTCCTCAATAAGTCATGTAGGATTCTAAACTATCAAAGCCTTTATTTGAAATTTAGTAGGAGTCTATTTACTCTGTAATCAATGACAGTGTGGAAAAGGCAAATCAAAAGCAATACGAAGAGAGAGTAATCAAGTACTTCTCTTATTCACATCATCCCTGTATTTTTAAGACCACATTAACTCTAGAAAGTCTACAGGACAGTCCTTATCACAAGGATATGAGCACACCTGGATATAAACTTATGTATACCTAATTCTCTATTCCTCCATAACATAAAAAGTTCTTTTGCCTTCAGTGAGATCAACCAACATTTCTGTTCAAAAACTAGGGGACAGGCAGGAAGGTAGGAGGGGGACAAAACAAGTATGCAGAGGAGTAAGAATAAGATAGTAAAAACCAGGAAAATATATTTGTTCTCAAAGTTCAGAGAAAAAAGGGTTCCTACAAAAATCTTTCTGCAAAATATTCCATTTTTTCTAAAATACAGAATCACATCTACCATTTTCAGGTACAGCTACAGTACAATGGAACTTAAATACTTTACTATGTTAAAACTTAGGAAAGTGAAGGGAAAACGCTCTTTCAGACAATCCTAAATTTGAGGGACACTCTAAGGGGGCAAAAGAGCAATTTTTAAAATACATCTCTGCTACCTACATAAATTGTAAGATAGATGTAAGTGAAAGTTTTTTTATTGTGCTTGTGAAGGACAAGTTCTTCATCCATCACTTCTTATTTCTGATGTTCATTGAAAGTTTGGAAAATTCTTGTTTTCACAGCTCTTTGCTTTTGGTAATGGCAGCTTCAATGGTAGCAACTGAAACCCAAACTTCTGCATTTAGAATTTCAAATTATTTAACTGAAAGGACTTGTGAGTTTTAGGAAAAACTATGTGAAAGTTTCAATCTTCAAGAAAAAGGAAGGATACTGGATAAATACTTATCCATCTTGGGCATAAACTCAGTAACTTTTGTGAGAATATAGATGAAAATAGCAGAGGCTTGGTATGAGTAGTCATAGAATTCCTTCTCTTCAGTTTTCAAAAACAACAGACAATACAAGATTTTGATTCTTAAATTTATTTTAAGCAGGATATATGTACTAATGGATGGTGACATCATTAGAAGATAGGTCCATGTCCACCACCTGCAACAGAAGCTAGACAGATGTTAAAGAAAACAATATAAAGAGTTAAAGATGACACTACTTACCCAGAGAAGACTTATGAAAGTCACCTATTAAACACTACAGTTAGCTCTTTATGCAGACATGATAGGCCATATAATATATCTGTTGTCAAAATTTCCTGTCAGGATTTAATGCATACATTACCTTGATTTTGATGGGAATCATACACTTCTGTTTAGAAATAACTATTAGATAAACTCATTTTTAAAGAAGTACTCATGGAAAGACTGTTTGTTCAAAGTTACTTACCTGTACATTTTCTTCAGAAGATAAAAGATCTGCAAATTTAGGTCTAAAGCTCCCATCTAAAGTTTAAAGTTAACAAGTATTCTTTGGGGATTCAAATTCTAAAACTGTTAAACCAGGTCAACAGCAGGTAACATTTCTAGATTCTACTAAGAACACAATGACTTTGTTCTCTCCACACCAGGGTGTTTGACAAAGCAGCCAGGTAGGATCTCCGCAATATGCCCACAGATAGGTGATACTAATTCAGAAAGAAATGAAAACTGATCTGTTACAATCCAGAAATCATGTTACACAAAAAAATGTCAGTAGTCAGAAGTCTAACAAAGGAGACAAGTTTGTGTAGAACAAATTAATTTCACCACAAGCTAAGCTTGAGCAGCAAAATCTACACACAGGCAGTTCAGGAAATACATTCTCAAAGAATTAGATGACAGGCCCTTTCGCACTGCTATTTCAAATGAGAAGTTAAGAAGCAAGGCTCAATCTGAGGCAAGATATTTCCCAAGACTGTAAAAACAGAGTCCTTGCTTCAGAACACAAATGCATCTGGCTACAGGCATTTGTTATGTATATTAGAAGATAGCCATTTATTAATTAAAAAAAGAAAACAAACAGAAATTAAGTCAGCTGGCCCTATAGACAATATCATGAAGACATCCTGATCTTAAAATTTCTAAACTTCAGCATATTTATCAGCTTTCCACTTCCCTAACTACAAGTCAGTGCAGGTAGTGAGCATACAGTCACTTCACTCATCTTAACAGAAGTTTAGAAGCTTGATTTTAAGGTTCTTGTTCTTTACTATCTCTTGACTCATAGCTCTTTATTAATACCTTGGGTTGTCACCAGCTTTACTCACAGTTCTTGCATTTAAACCACATTGATCAGCCTAAAAACATTTTTACAGTATACCTCAACATCCTAGGACTTCATCTGCTTGAAACAGACTGTTACAGATACTGAAGACTGACTCCTGCTTTCTGAAGAAAGACCTCTGAAACCAGTCTGAAACTGGAAGTGTGCTGTATTAGAATGGGGTTCTTTAACAGTTTAAATATCTCAGACAAGAAACCTTAAGGGTCATGACAGCCTGGGAATAAGCAATTGCTTTCTCTTACAGCCATGAATTCTTAGATCTAGTAATACTGGGAAATGCAACTGTTTGTATTTGTTGAGAACAACCAACAAGAGTGGAATCTGCTCACAGCTACCTTCCGCTTGTAATTTCACATTAATTGAGCTCTTTTGTTTTTATAGAGAGACAAGTCTGTCTGAAGGACTAAGTCACTGCCTTATGAGCAACTCGCTATCCCACTAGTCTACTATACTTATACATACCTATAAATAGGGTTTAACTGCTGGTAATGATCTACAAAAAGTGAGTGTCTCATGGCAATGATTTCCACACTGTTCCTGTGAGTAAACACAACACCGAGAAGGAAGGTAGGGTAGATGGTTAAAACCTTAAGGTTTCCTGTTCTTTAATCTTCCAGGTTCCACTGTGAAGCTGGATCAGTTATGACTGCAATCAGCTCTACTGTGAGTACCATCTATCATAGGTGAAACTGGTTGATATCCTTCTCACAGATTAAACACAGTGAAGTTGATAGGAAGAACCTTCATCAATTGCTTTTCTGTGAGGCATGGAGAAAAGGAAGGAAGTTAGGAAATGAGTCTTCTAGGAATGACACAACCAATCTGAATGATCACTTCAGATACTCTGGGAACAGCATTTTCCTGAACAAAGACACTAATAAAATTTGAAATCAAGTTATTAAAGGATAAAGAAACAACAGAGTGAGGAAAATGTTCTTGGCAGGCCTGTGTCATATGAAACCTGAGGAGCAATTAATTTGTGCACTATGTAAAGACTACTGCAAATGCTGTGGTTACACGGCATCGAAAATGTTCAGCTATCTCTGCTTGCAAAAGGACAGAGCTTCAGCTCCATTACTGTGATACCGAAGTTAGTGCTAGAACCTATGTCTCAAACCTGAGACAAGGGATTTGGAATCCCAAAGAGATTTAGGAAGCAATGGATGCAAATTTACGGACTTATTTAGGATATGTGGGAAGTTCAACAGGAAGCTTGACAGTACTACACGGTAGGAAAGGAAAACAGATGGCTAGTAACAGTGAAGAACCGACTAACTTAGTGGATAATTTGCTCATAATAAGCTGTTCACTCTGCAACCTTCTTTTATTAATGAATTGTCCTGTCCTAACAGTGCTTGTGCTACAAATGCTGCTAACAAGCAGTGTAAGAGGCTGTAGAACCTAAAACTACATTTTACTGGGTTTAATGGATGGTTAAAGTCAGGTTTAAAAGTTGTGCTGAAATCAGTAATTAAATTCTTATCCTTTAAGTGGCCTCACAAACCTGCAACTGCCAAAAAGATCACTCTGTTCACAAGAACAATATTATTAGGCAATCTAATGCATAAGTAAGACTTACAACAATTAAAAGAACAAGAAAAAAATTACTCTATGACAAATTAGGTTTGTACCATCCAGGATAAGACTTTCTATCTACACTACTAAAACTAAGTCTGTACATCTAATGAAGACTGAACAGGCTAAAAAACAGAAAAACTGAAGCGATTACAGTTGTAACATTACCTGATGTTGAGCTGGTTTAATACATTTAGAACACTAGAACAAAAAAAAGTCTTGTTAAAAATGTGCTGGAAGCAAAGACCTAAAAGTGGTGATTAAATATTTACCTTTGAAGAGAAAATTTGTTTAGGCAAACTAAAAGCATTTAAAGAACAGGCGTAAGTGAAGAATGGACTAAAATATTACGCACTTCCAGCTTATGTTCTTTCTCTGCAAGGAATTCTTTTTGACATCGGAGAAAGTCCGACAACATTCGAGTTAGCTGTTTTCTATCATCTATTTCAGCTGCCAACCTGCCATTGTAATCCGCCAGCAGCATACATGCATCATCTACCATTTTGGAAAGTTGCTCTCCAGATTCTTTATCTAAAAAATAAGCAGAGAAAAACAAGTAAAGCATGATTTCATTATATACTGTTAAGATTCTGAGAACAGCTTTTCAGTTACTGAAATCTCACCTGTTATTCTGTCTAACAGGGAAACATCTTGAACCTCTATAGGCAAAGAAGCTATTCTCTGATGAACTGCTGCATCCCCAGAGGCAGCGTTTTCTAGTTCTTGCAATGCTCTAATGAGATCTGTGGTCTGAAAAATCATGCAAGATTTAGAACTGGTTTAAATAAACAGATCATGGTATCAAACAGTATTTCACAATAATCTTATGGAATAATTTGATGGTCATTTAAAAAGCATTCATGATAACATTATAGCAATATTCTATCCCCTCTCAGACAGAAAACAAAACAAAACTAAGCCATTAACTGTCAGAACATTACAGTGTTCCTAGTTTTAAATGCCACCTTCCTAAAATTTTTTTTCTTAAAATTCTTGGAACAGGACTATTTATAAATATTTTCTTTTTGACAGTAGTGATCATTTTACAGTACCTTTAATTTTGCTATACTTTTTTGATATTATTTTTCTTGTAGTTTTGCTTCACTACCACATCAGATTAGATCAGTGCACTTCTTTTTTAAGTAGGGCTGATGTTCACAGAAGCCCAGAAGTCTGTTACAGAGAAACATACTAAACTGATTGAGGACAGTGGTTCCTCACCATAACAAAACCTTTTGAGATATGGCTGTACCTTAACAAAAACCCCACAAGAATTATAAAAAAAACACAATGCAAGGTCGACAGGAACTTTTCCCAACCATCCTGACTGCCCACTGAGAAATATTTTCTTAATAAACTGATAACAATCTTGATGCATGTGTTACTGGTTACCATCCTGGAAACAAAATTAGAACCTAAAATGTATAAACCAATGCTGAAATCCTGATATGGACCAAGCTGGATATAGTTCATACATGGTGGCTTAGAGTTAAACTGATTAATATTACAGCATGCTCAACTTCTTAGCCTCATTTATAACCTAAAGTACTGTGAAGAACAGTTTCAGGTGTAGTAGCTGATGTTCAGAAACAGTACCTCATTAAATTAAAAACAGACACCATTCAAAAATCAAGAGTAACTGCAAAATTCTATATCAAATCATATGCAAACGTGCAATTTTATAAACATGCATTTACCTGTGGAGGGTCAGTGGGAGAACTTCGAGGTGAACAGCTATTTTCATCAATCTTTATCTGTTCATATGTTCGCTTCCTCACCTTTCTGTCTCCATCTAAATGAAACCAAACAGAGGAGTCAGGGAAATACATTTCAAACAAGTGACTGAATCCATACACACACAAAATACTTACACAAAGCTTGCCTAAGTTGTTCTAACACATCATTTTCATAAACAGACCTTTCTTCCCATATAGAGAGCACTCGACCAAGGTGCTTCTTACAATTCTCATCGGACTCACTGTTACAAAAAAAATAGCAAAAATCAGCACTGGGTGAAATCACTGCCATACGATTATCTTATCTTATGAGGAAAGGCTGAGGGAGCTGGGTCTCTTTAGCTTTGAGAAAAGGAGACTGAGGGGTGACCTCATCAATGTTTACAAATATGTAAGGGGTGAGTGTCAGGGAGATGGAGTTAGGCTTTTCTCAGTGATGACCAGTGATAGGACAAGGGGTAATGGGTGTAAATTGGAGCGTAGGAGGTTCAAGGTGAATATCCGAAAACATTTTTTTACTGTGAGAGTGACAGAGCACTGGAACAGGCTGCCCAGGGAGGGTGTGGAGTCTCCTTCACTGGAGACATTCAAAACCCACCTGGATGCGTTCCTGTGTGATGTACTCTAGGTGACCCTGCTCTGGCAGGGGGGGTTGGACTAGATGATCTTTCGAGGTCCCTTCCAACCCCTAAGATTCTATGATTCTATGATCTTTCACAGAAAGACCCTGGTATATTTTGACAATGATAAGAGTACCAGAAATCAAAAAATCTCAGGAAATTAAAAAAATCATGTGTTGGGTTGTTTTTTTTTTGTTTTGAAAAAAAGTGAAGACCATTTCAAGATGTCTTAGCAAGTACATTTAAAAAAGCTAATGCTCGGTTCCGTTTCCTTGCTCAACCCACAAATCCGAAGGTCTGTAACTCTTTCTCAAACACTGCAAATTGTTTTTTTTTTACTTCAACAGCTGTGGAACATGGAAAAATAATACTGTCTCAACTCTAGCATCCTCATGCAATGAGATGAACAGCTGTTGGGAAAAAATAAATCACGTAACACAGGTAATGAAATGTATCAAACTGTTGTAGCATAGAAACAGACTGGAAAGCATGTCTTGGTTTAAGGCACATTTAACAGCCTTCTAAGGCAAAAGGGATTGAATGCAGATGAATTTGCTATGTAACTTCATCCAACAGCATTAAGACTATCCTAGATCAAAAGAACATGGAATAAATGAAATTAACAAGACTTCACATACAGAAATAGCACGTAAGGATGAGAAACTAAGGACTTCTCTAAATCCCCCCAAATACACTATGATGAAGGACACTGTACAGAAGTTTACTGTACCTTGAAACATGCTTAAAAGCCTCCACTATTACTGGAGCAAAGTCCTTCGTAAATTCTGGTCCTTTCCTTTTGCTGTTTTGTATGACATCATTAGCCAAGTACAGGAATGTCAGCTTCCTATTTGGTTTTGCTAAGAAAAAGAGTGATGAAGAAGAATTAGAAATTTTCGTTCCCTCCAGCTAACACCTACTTATCCACATTTATACTAAACACAAAATAAAAAATATGCTTTTCCTATTCTTATTACTGCTTACAATATTTCACTCTAAGATTTTATTTCAAATTATGACAAGACTTTGGTCACCCATTGGCTTCTCTCTCTTCTGCCATAACTCTTTGCTCAGGTTCTTCCTCCTTCATGACACACATTCCCTTTAGCCCCATCTCCAAAAATAAACAGAAAAAACCACTATATTCCAAAGTGTTATTCAGCCCACAACTATTTTCTGGTATTTTCCTGAGACAGATGTGGATTTTTTCCACATACTTCAGCCTGCATAAATTTCTTACTCATGAAGTCCCCTGACAAGAAGCTTCACAGATCCACAATCATTCATCCTTTCAGTTTGAATTCCAGTCTTATATAACCACCCCTCATTCTTACATTTCAGCAACCTGAATGGTCAATCCCTAGTGAACCTCTCCATATCACTGATGCTCCCCTCCATCTCCTAATCATTAAAACACTCATGTCTGTGGCTGTAACATCAACCAGCATTAACATCAGAAACACTTTCCATAAGCATTACCACCACAGGCTCAGACTGTACACTTTGATTTCAAAAATAAGTTCTTCATTAAAGTCAAGATCTAAGAGGTTTGTCGCCCTGTAGTAAAGCCAATTTAGGATATCTTAAAACTTGAGCTTAGTTACCAATATGATTTAATTTTGTTAATTTCTCCTCCAATGTCTCAAATATGCAAAACCACCACTTTCACATACAACCAGAAAACTCAATGTTATTATGCTTTTGTTTTAAGGAAATGTTTTTGAGAATAAATTTTGCAGTTCAGAAACAGTCCTCTGAAGGGTTTCTCCTTGGAGTATTCAATTTTTCCCATCCTCTTGGACAGACATATCCAACAAGGGAGTTCTAGATTAAGTAGCAAAAAAACCCCTGCAATAAAAGTAAAAATGCACCTCTCTCTTGAAGTCAAGGCAAACTAAAAAGTGGCAAAAAAATAATTAGTTTTGAAGTGCGGGGCACACGGTGGATCTATTAAAAGTCTGCTCCAAACAGTGAAGTCACTACATGCAGTCACCCACAAAATTAATCTATTTGGGTCAAAAACTGGCTACACCAAAATGTAAATTTTATGGACTTATGCTACTTAATTTCTATATTAAAAACAATTTAGCAAAACACCTCACACCTATATGTCTGGTAAATCATAGCTCTGACACAAAGAAAATTTTGAATTATTCAAAGAAAAATCTTAGAAAACACATAACATCTCATGGGTGCACTAAAATTAACTAGTGTTTACCAAAGCCAACCCTGCCCCCCACATTTCTTAAATGAGCCCAGAATTAGGACTCAAAATCTAATGAAGCAGACTGTTCCCCACACCACAGCCTCTGAACTGCATGCAGGATAGGTCATTGTCCATCCATTTCACAAAAAATGTCATGTAATAAGTATGATGTAACTCATTTGTGACAGATCCGAACTTCCTTGTTTCCAGCAAGTAATGAAATCAACTGAACTGGTAAGGACAGGAGATGTACACAGTGCCATGAAGTCAGGTGACATTGATTCTCAGAAAGCCCAGACTTTGTCTATTCATTACAGTAAACAGAACAAGAATCTATATTTGGAAAAAGTACGCTAAAAACCAGAAAGCCACGTTCAAGCTTATTTTCTCTAGTATTGCCTTTTCAGCTTACTACTACAATTCAACAGAAACAAAGCTTCATTTAATTAACAAAAATCCTCAAAACATTAAGCTCCCTGTGGCTTTGGTTAGAAATTGAATTGATATTCTACTCTTAAGTTCACAAAGAACATTGTGAAGTAAAATGCAATTCCTTTTGCTGTAAGAATGCTTTGCGTAAAATTCCAAAGCTAAAAAGTATGCCTTAAATTCCAGACCAGACAGATCTGTTCTGAAAAAAAATTATCTGTTTACAGCATCTCTCTTCAGTTGCAGTGTCACTAACTTTTCAGCCCTGGGCTTTGATTTACCTCAGAAGACAAAAATGGATCAAAGAACAATTAGGGTATTTAAACAAAAAGGTGTCCTCAATGCTCAGCAAGGGTCTTAGCAAAAAGCAGTCTTACTGTCAGAAGGAAATGAAAGAAAAAAGGTATGATCGTAGATTAAAGAAGAATCTGAAAGGTACATACAGCCAAGAGTGTATAATGTTAGAAGAAGCTAGCCTATAGTATCTCTGGTACAATAAAAGTACATTCTGCAAACACAAAACTGCTAAGAAAGCATCCATGTTGGACTGAGTCACCTTTTCAGAAGCTCTGTGCAGTATCCACTTAACTGTTCTGCTAATTTCAGTTAGACTTACCACATATCCACTGAAGCAGCTCCCTGAAGTGCTGGATTCTGAAGTATTTTAAGAGGTTAATGGTGTTGGCTGGTGTAAGAGTCATATTAAGCATATTACTCTTAAAGCATCTACAATGATACTAACCAGGATTGGCACTTGGCAACTGAAACTGTCTATCTCAAAAATATATCTGACATTTAAATGCCAATTAATACTCTGCAGGTATTCATGGCATTTCTTCTGCAAGTAGTGTGATCAGACATCTATGGTGGAGAGACTAACCATCCTCATTATCAAGTCTAAGTTTTTGGCAATTTGTATTTTTTGGGAACACATACTTTTTAGCCTGGCCTAGTTATTCGTGGTTCTCTACCAGTCCAAAATAGATGTCCTGAGATTGTATGCCTGGGTCCGTAATACTCAGAGAACCCTAACGCTGAAGAGCCACTACTTTTGTGCAAGAAAGTCTAGTACTTTACCTTGGAAGTCAGTAAACATGTTATTTTCACTGATGTTAACCCTGGCAATCAAAACCAGCATAACCACCCATATTTGCCTTCTCCACCTTTACCTCTTGACACTGGAAATTGAGCTCCTGTGAAGACTGCTAGAAACACACCCATTTGTTCCATGCTGTTCCCTAGAGCTGAGAGATATTTGCCATCTCAGACATACAGGAAGAAACTACAGAGAAACACAGAGGCGTAAGGGTTTTCACTTACATGCCACTACAGGTGTATAGAATATTGAGCCCTCTCAAAATGTTACATCAGGCTTTAACCTTCTACAGGCTGGCTCTGCTATGCCAAGTGACCATGAATGAAAATACCATTTAATAAAGAGGTTTTGAGAAAATGAGCATCAGCAGAATAAACCCCCCCCAAATTATCCGCACCAAACAGTTAAGGTTTTTTGCTTCTTTTTTTGAAACTCCAGTTCTGTAATATGGATTAAAATAAAGACTTGGCTCAATTGCTTTTAAATTACATTAGTCTACATACGTGCAGCCAAATACGAGTATCAGTACTTCTCCCAAAATCCCTGGGACACGTCCTGTGTCATAGCATGTTTCCTACTTTTGCATGAGAAGTTACATGACATCTTTGTAAACATCTGCTAAGTTCTCAAGCTTTTTATTACAAGGTCCTAGTAATCTTTTAAGTCAAGCAGTACTGTAACTTGAGTGCAGGATCACTGACCCTTCACATTGAGAGCCGAGTTCTTATACAAGCTGATTAAGCACAGCATCATTAGTAACAAGACTGAAAGTACATCTGTAAAGTCAATTGAGATGATACCACCAGAAAGGACAATTCAAAGAAAATACAATCCAAAGGCATGTCGTACACCAAGCACTTATCAGTCTTAAAATTCATTAACCTTCAGTTGTGAAAAAAGCTAAACTAAGTGTTCAACATGGCTATTACCTGATTCCCCTGCTGAATTTTACCAAGGTTTGAGAACTGCTGTGTTTCCTTATTAAAGAGGGGAATAAGATTGCCCACAAAATCTGTTCAAGGTTTGAGGGTCCAAGTACCTCGATTTCGACTAGCACACAAAGGGAACACAGCATACAGCAACTGCTGGGAAAGAGGCCATCAGCATCAAATTACCATGGGGATGTGAGAAAGTTGGTCACAAACCAAGGAAACCATTCCAACATAATTACTGTGCAGAATCTTCCCACTGCACTTAGTTTATGTTCAATTATATTAAGACATCAAACAAACCAATTCCATTCATTGTCTGGCCTGGCATATCCAACATGGATATGAATCAACAGCAACAACCACTTTAGGATAGGAAAAAGACACTGAACTTAAGTATTTAGAACCAGAAACACAGACAGGTACAGGTGAAAGATACTAGGACATGAGTGGTACAGCAATAAATGAATGTTGATTTGTACACAATGCATTCCTTCAAGACTAATATTAGAGATTCACCCAGGCTGGAATACGCAATCCAGATGTGACTATTTTAAGTGAAAGATTCTTACTGTTGCTCCTGGCTGCAGGCCATTCTGTATATCACTTACATAGCAAATGTATCTCTCTAACTTGACTCAGCAATTCACATTTGCCTGAAACTTTGACTGCTATTAGTTGATCTCTAAACCTTTTTGCATACGTGAGCAGATTCATGTGAATAAGCAGGAAGGTACACACAAACACCTCTGTCTTAATTATCTTACTGGCCTCCTTCAGAACACCTACTAACCAGTGAAAATGGTGAGCCATAGTTTTATTACTTTTAAATAAAAAAAAAACCTTTTTATTCTCTACAGCGTATCACAGTGGCTGATGACACTATACTACCATTAAGTAAAACAATCATACAACCACCAGTTGTGGTGGTTTTGTTTCACCAGTAGTGAAAGATTCCTTCTCTGGGTGGAAAAACTACACTACATAGTACAGAAAACACTTGCTTTTAAAACAGGAACTTCTTTCCGGAAATCCACTTCATATCTACAGAGTAATGTATTTCCACCACTTTTGGCTGTGGTTCTGTTCCAAAGCAGTTGACTGAGTATCAGAGTAATTCAGATGTAATACAACTTTCAGATCTGGGTTCAACACTATTAGGCCTTCTTAATTTGCCTACTAAAATTCTCTATCTTCTAA